CATTGTACGATACTATAATGACATGCACGTGTGACTTGTTCTCAAGGGGAGTAACCTGTGATCCACATTTTGGTATCTTGATTTCACTATTTATTGGCCAACTTTAGCGAGCCAATCATGGGCCCCTACATGACACTATGGTTTAGGGGTTTCATAGGGTTTGAGACGATAGTCAAAGATCACGGTCACTGGCTTGAGTGGAGTGCCCTAACAGTCACTTTTCTTGACCCAATGGTACCAATCCAATTCTAGAATTTTTTGTTTCATCTTAAGAAATGTTTCTATGATTTGCTTAAAAACTGTTTCTGCAATTTTTAGAATTTTTTTCACAATTTTAAAATCATTTTCAGAAGTGCAAAAAGCTTAAAAGGAAATTTTTGAAATTTTTGGAATCGTGGGAGGGGCTAGGAGGAACACATGGGGTCCTTTGGATCCACCCTCACACATGGGTGGGATGTGGGGCCCATACATTGCACGTAGAGGTGGGACACCCCGTCATCTCTTCTTAAAATTCTTTTAAAATTACAGAAGTCATTTTAGAAAAGATTTCTTAAGGAAATCTTTGAAAAAGATTTAGTGAACATATTTTTGTGGGAGTAGAGAATATTTTGTGTTTGGAAAGTATTCTTTTTAATATTTGATTATGACTAAATCTTTTTTACTTTGGATTCCTACAATCGTTTGAGAGATAAAGGAAATTCTAATCACAATGGAACATAGTTTTTTATTGATCTTATCCTAAGTTAACTAGTTGGTCTAAGAAAGGTGATGACTTTAAACTTTCCCTTCACCCGTCCCATGCCCGGGTATAAGGGTTAGGTTGTGTTAGGTAGGCAGCCAACGTAAAATTTTGCCAAAACTTATCATGAATCCTGAACATACAATATTTCTTTATGTTAAGGTGTTCCCCAAAAGCGACGCATTGTGCCAGAACTTGGGTTCGGCGAGAAATTAGCTAGGGCGTTCCCCAAAAGTGACACGCTGTACCGGACCTCGGGAATAGTGAGAAATAAGCAAGGGTTAGCTAGGGCGTTCGCCAGAAGCGACGCGCCGCAGCACCGCTCGGTTGTGGTGAAAAATTGGCAAGGCTTCCCTCGACCTCCTAGCGAGAGCAGGTAAAGAAGCTAGTCCAACATAATAGGATTCGTCTAGCCACCATGAATGTAAGAACGCTTACATGTAAGAGTATGGGGTTAGTGGATACAATGAGAGGAAAGAGAGTAAACATAGCTTGTCTATAAGAAACTAAATGGAAAAGAGAAAAAACTAGAGAAATAGATGGGTATACACTTTGATATATAGGAAATGATAATAATAGAAATGGTGTAGGTATAACAGTAGACAAAGATTTAAAAGGTACAGTAGTTAATATCAAAAGAATAGGTGGATAGGCTCTTATTAATTAAACTTGTATTAGGGGAAGAGATAATTAACGTAATTAGTGCTTATGCACCACAAGTAGGATTGGATGATAGAATTAAGAGGCAATTTTAGGATTTAGGAGGACATAGATAGAATAGTCCAAGACATAGCAATCAGAGAGAAAATCTTTTAGGAGGGGATTAAATGGCCATGTAGGGAAGGATAGTAGAGGATATGAAGATGCACATGGGGAATATCGATTTGGGGAAAGAAATGAGATGGGTGAGACTCTTCTAAATTTTGCTATGGCCTATGACCTAGCAATAGCAAATACTTAAGAAAAAAAAAGAGCGAGATGAATATTTAATAACCTATAAAAGTGGATCACATAAAAGCCAGATAGACCTCTTCATAGTTAAGAAGGTTGATTGACTATCATGTAAAGACCGCAAGGTTATCCCTCGAGAGAGAGTTTGACTACCCAACACAGGCTCGTGGTTATGAACATTTGCATAAAGATATGGAAGAAAAGTGGCGGAATTTAAAAAGGAGAACATAGACTTATTTAGGGATAAATTAGTTGAAGAAGGAAAATGGAACTTTGAACATGATGTCAATGTAATATGAAATGAAATGGTCGACTGTATCAGGAAAGTGGCAAAAGAAGATTTAAGAGATTCTGGACGGAAAAGAAAATCTGATAAGGAAGCTTGGTGGTGGAGTGATGAGGTTCAAAAGGACATGTTATGAAAAATCTGGAGGGAAAAGAAAAACGATCATGTTATAAAACTTGGCAGTGTAATAGAAACGAATAAAACTTAGAAAAATATAAAAATGTTAAGAAAAACACTAAACAAGTAATAAGTAAAGCTAAACTTAAGCCATATGATAACCTATATAATAAATTGGGAACAAGAGAAGGTGGAAAAGATATCTTCAAATTAGTAAAAATAGGAAAGAAAAACTTTAGGGCTCTAAACCATATTAAATGCATTAAGAGCGAGAATCAAAGGGTTTTAGTGAAGTATGACGAGGTCCACGAAGATGGAGAGTCTATTTTTAAAAATTATTAAATGACGAACACAATGGGAACATAGCGGTAGAAAGAACTATTGGTACAAATGAGGGCGGAGGTCATAAATACATTCGTAGAATTAGGATGTCGGAAGTGAAAGAAGCTTTGATAAGGATGAAGATAATAAAGGCTTTAAAACCAGATGGTATCCCGATAAGAGGTTTGAAAGTGCATGGGGGAGATTGGCCATGACTGGCAGACGAAGTTGTTCAACAAGGTATTGAAAACTTAGACAATGCAAGACGAATAGAGGAAACGTATTGTGGTACCTATCTACAAGAACAAAGGACACATACAGAATTGTGCGAACTATCGAGGGATCAAGCTTATGAGCCATACTATGAAGCTATGGGAAAGAGTGATTGAGCAACGACTAAGGCATGAAACGAGTGTATCTCAAAACTGATTTGGTTTTATGCCAGGAAGTCAACAACTGAAGCTATTTTCCTACTTAAGCAACTTATTGAGAAGTTAAGGGCGAAGGGGAAAGACCTCCACATGGTCTTTATTGATCTAGAGAAAGCTTATGATAGAGTAACTCGAGATTTGATTTGATGGGTATTGGAAAATAAATGAGTCTCCAGACACTACATCGACTTGATGAGAGATATGTACAATGGAACGTTAACTAGTGTAAGAACAACTAGAAGAGAGACAAGTGAGTTTTCAGTGACAATGGTCAACATTAAGGGTCAGCATTGAGCTTGTACCTCTTTTGTCTTAATTATGGACGCCTTAATTAGGCACCTATAAGATGAGATACTATGGTGCATGTCATTTGCAGATGACATAGTTTTGATCGATGAGACCCGAAATGGCATCAACACAAAGTTAGAACTTTGGAGGGATACCCTAGAATCCAAAGGTTTTTAAAAAAAAAAAAAATTTTTATTTTTGATAATGTTAACATAGTATTACTATATAAAATGAAGGAATACAACCGATTAAGGGAGGAGACGACCGAGAATACCCACGAGACAGGTATCTCACTCAAAAAATTAAGCCATTAACTCCATACAACCTATATCCTTTTGAAATGGCCGTATCCAAAAGATTGAGGTCTCAAAAAATTGGGCTCATAAGCACGCCTTACTACAAAAAGCAACAACCAAAAAATATCTAGTGTCCTAGAAGACCTCAATGGTCCAGTGCAAAAAAGGAGGTGGACCACTCGTTCGACGTCCGTCAGGTATGCCTCCAACAGACGTTGGTATCCCTACATAAGTGGTAAATTTCATCAAATATCCTAGAAAGGTACCGAGGAGGGGTAGTGGTGCCTGCTGCCCATGATAGAATGTTTTTTGCGTCTCCTTCCACCACTAAGGATTGGCCCCAAGATGGATTAAAAAATTTTAGGCCCATTAGGAGTGTCAATGCTTCGGTAAATCTTGAATCTCCATGTCCGACGTATTCTGAATATGTCATGAGAACATTTCGATTGTGGTCGAGGAAGACTCCCCCTACTCTTGAAGGGCCCAGGTTTCCCAAGGAATAGCCATCGAAGTTAAGCTTTATGGCATTTTCTGAAGGAGGCAACCAGTTGTGAGGTCGCTGTAACTTGAAAGGCTGGAGTCGGATAATATTGTCCCAATGCCTGAGGAAAGAACTCATAGGAATCCCACCAAAGAAGTTGTGGGTGGAAGCCCAAAAAGTTACGAGTGATATAACCTTATGAAACAGCCATGAAACTTCGTTTTTGTGTCCTTGAAAGACCCTCTCATTTCTTTCTAGCCATAGAACCCATACGGTAGCTGCGATTGCTGCCCTCCACAAGGTTCTACCTGCTTTGGGCCAAGGACCACCTGAATAATGAAGAAATAAATCTTTTACCGAAGGTGGGAGGACCCATTTGAGACTAAATAAGTGTAGAATCAGTGTCCAAAGCTCATAAGCCACACTACAATGTAGAAAGAGGTGGGGATTTGACTCCTCCTCTATAAGGCACATTACACATCTGTTTGGGAGTGGCAGACCTCTTTTTTGAAGTTGATCGAGTATGAGAGCCCGTTGACAGGCCGTTATCCAATTGAAAGACTGAACTTTTGGATGAGCTATTGTGTTCCACACTTTGGAAAGAGGAGAGATGGGATTTAAAGGGAAAGTAGGAGGCTGGATAAGTTTCTTATAGAAAGAGGCTATTGAAAACTTACCAAATGGGGATAGTGTCCATACCAAAGAATCATCCCCTCATGAAGGTAAGAACACTGGGTTAAGAACAGCCGATAGAGTGGTAAAAGCTAATGTTTCCTCTTCAAAAAGATTCCTTCGAAAAGTGGGGTTCCAAGTTCTACGCCCCCCTCCCAAAACCATTTCATATGCAATACTGTACTATAGGAAATAGGTCCCTAAGGGGAGCAAGTCCAATCCACATATCAGACCAGAAGCGAACTTTGTTTCCTTGTTTTGGATGAAAACGAAGCACTTTCTTGAATTGAGCAAGAGAGGAGACGAGAGATTTCCAAACTCCTGAAGCCCTACTTCGTGAGGGCCTTCCAGGTACCCAATTGTGATCCGGAATGTTATATTTATTCCGAATAACCTGTGCTCAGAAAGAATTTGGTTGGGTGGCCAATCTCCACCACCACTTCCCCAACAGAGCCAGATTATGCTTTCTTAGATCTTTGATAGCTAAACCACCTTGGGCTTTGGGCAGTCAGACTCTATCACAAGAGATTATGATGTCTCATTTTTTCGGCATGCCCGGACCACAGAAAGTTCCTCATCAGTTGGTCCAGCCTATTAGCCACCGACGCTGGCATATGGAAGATGGACATGAAGTAAATAGGGGAGTCTGCCAGTGTAGCCTTAACCAAAGTAGAACGACCAGCCAAGGAAAGGAATCTTCCTTTCCATCCAGCTAGACACCTATTAACTCTATCAATCACGTGGGCCCAATGTCTCTTTTTTGGTTTCCCTAAACCTAAAGGGATCCCCAAATAAGTGGTAGAGAAGTCCTCTACTATACAATCCTAGGAAGGAATCAAGGATCTGATTTCTTGAAGTGTTAGACCCACTCCCATCACCTTTGATTTTTCCATATTTACTTTGAAGCCAGTGGCATTCTCAAAGCATTTGAGGAAGATTTTGAGGTTCTCGATTTGCTGAGGGACTGCATATAAGAAGACTAGGGCATCATCTACGTATTGCAAGTGTGATACCAATGGACCTTGTGAGCTACAGAGGAAAGCCGAAACTAGTCCTTCTTGGTAGAGATGAGAGATAGACCTGCTGAAAACCTCTAAAAAGAAAGGGAGATAGAGGGTCCCCTTGACGAAGCCCCCTCGATGCAGCAAAGAATCCTTTAGGACTTCCATTTATAAGGACCGAAAAATAAGGGAGCCTTTTATCCATTTTCTCCATCGAGGACCAAAATTCATTCTAGCCATCATCTCATCCAGTAATGACCAGTCCATGTGGTCATATGCTTTCTCCCAATCGATTTTGAAAATCAAGCCTGGTTTCTTGAATAGGTGCCTAGAGAGGATACACTCATGAGCTACTAACGCACCATCCAGGATCAGCCTTTCTTGGATGAAAGCTGATTGGGACTGCGAGATGATGAAAGGAAGGACCTGCTTGAGTCTTGAAGCCAATACCTAGGCCAGAATTTTGAATGTTGAGTTGAGTAAGCTAATTGGACGAAAGTCCTTTAGCTCATCAGCACCTTCTTTGTTGGGGACAAGGGCTATAGAGGTGCCATTGATAGCTTTGTTGAGGATCCCCATATGATAGAATTCTTCAAAGAAGCTCCTGATATCAGGCAAAGGTTTTAAAATTAGTCGGACTAAAGCAGAGTATATGGAATGCAAGTTTAGTAATAATAGGAGTAGAGATGAGGAAGTAGTTAAGATTAACGGTCAGGAAGTACAAAAAAGACCGCATTTTCGATATCTTGGGTCCATAATCTTGAAAATGGAGAGATTGAAGAAGATCTCACACACAAAATTAGAGTTGGATGGGCAAATGGAGATGTGCAACTAGAATTTTATGTGATCGCCGCATACCAATGAAGCTAAAGGGCAAGTTTTATAAGAGAGCTGTGAGACCAGCTTTGCTCTTAGGGGCAGGATGTTGGGCAAACAAAAAACAATATATAGAATGAGTGTAGCGGCGAAAAAGATGTTGAGATCGATGAGTGGCAAGACAAGAAGAGATAGAATTCGAAATGAATCCATTCGGGAGAATTTCGGTGTGGCACCAATAGGCGATAAGATGAGAGAAAGAAGACTTAGGTGGACGGGCCATGTGTGGCACCAACCAAGTACAACACCTGCTAGGAGGTGCAAGTTAGTTCAAGTGGAAGGACTGAAAAGGGCAAGGGATAGGCCCAAAATGACGTGGTTAAAAATAGTCCGAAAAGATATGGGGACTTATGGCCTCACTGAGGGTATGGCCTTTAATAAAGCAGAATGGCGAACCGAGATTCGTGTAGCCAACCCCAAATAGTTGGGAAAAGGCTATAATGATGAATGAAATGATGATCCTAGGTTAACTAGTGGGCCAAAAATTTACGTCATAAGATTCCTAAATTCCTACCTAAATCATAATGGTTGAATTTTGGGATAGATGGCTCAGATTTGTTTCTCTATCAACTCACAAATTACTTAGGAGTCCTATGGCCAAGATGAATTCTAAATCAGATAGAATACCTAGATCATATTAAAAGCTATATATAGAGGGTAGCCCCCTCATTCTCACCATTTGAATTTCTAAGCCTCTCTCCTCTCGCCTCCACATCATTCCCTCTCTCTATTATCTCTCTAACTTCTCTCTTCCTAAGGGGTGGGAGGACCTAGGGGTGGCATGCACCACATAGGGAATACAGAGAGGGGCACACCCAGCTCATAATTGACCAAGGGAGGTGCCACCTGTGGCATGCCCTAGAAAGGTCTTAAAAGGGTCTAGAAAAACCCTAGTCTTATTTTTATGATCTCAAGTCCTCGATCTGAAAAAAGTATTTCCTAAAGAGCTTTCTGACTCAGAAAATTCAGCAAGGCCAATAAGATTGGAGTGAGCCATCGGTCCGATAATCAGGTGTGGAAGTCCTACGGGGTTGACCCAAGGTAAGTCTTTCTGGTTGTTCTAAGTTTATTTTCAGCCATTAATGTTCAATTTATTGTAATTTTCTGGAATAATATTTGCATCAAAATCCATAGTTTAAACTTGTATTCAGTCGCTGGATTTAGTTACATTTATTTGGCAGTAAAAAGAAAGATCCTGAGTTGTATTTAAGGTTTTGCTTGTTATTTGCAGCAGCGCTTTGTGGCACTTCTAAGTGGATTTCAGATATATTAATAAAAGAAAAAGGAAAATTCTTTATTTTACTCCCAGGAATTCCGCATAGCCACTTCTTTCAAGACCAGTCATCCTAGATCCATGTACCACAATCCATTTTCTAAAATCGATAGCGGAATAAGGGCACAAATGCTGCTATATTACAAGAAGTCATCCCAGATATCACCACGACACAGCATGTTATTTCTGAGTCAATAAACTTAAGATCATAGGCTGGGGAGAAGGAGATACACAACGAAAAGTCAACAAAAGTTGAGGGATAACAATATTTTATGTTTAATTCTCGTAAGGAAATAAGATAAAACTATGCTATGTTTAATTCTCATAAGGAAATATCTTCTGAAGTATGCAACACAAGCATACAAAATTCCAGTACAAAAGAGCAAATATGCAATTAAAGTACCTTCCGTTTCACTGCGACTAGTGACTTCTCACTTTCATCATTGCATATGCAAGTCACTGGAAGAAGTGTGGACAGAACAATTGTAAGTTCCTACATAAAACAAGGCAATTCCTGAGGTCCAGTCAAAGAAATTAGATGCAGATCATTGGTTTTGATCCATAAAATTGACTATAAATGTTACGAAGAAAGAAGATATGCACCGTAACAGTTTTGGTTTAGTAAAAGTGGTTCATGTACATGACCCCATATATAACAAAACAAAGAGTAAATCATCATAGAAAAAAAAAGACAACCTTCTATATCTCATTATACTAGCTTTGCTGAAATGAGAGGAGGGTAGAGTCTATTCAATGCGAAAAAGGATTAAATGACAGGTCAAATTTCAAACAGAAATGAGAGAACACTCTCACTGAATGTACTTGACTGTAGAAGCGAAATGGTGCAGGTTCAGCCAATGCAAAAGATGAATGAATAGGTGGAAGACCAGAAAATAAGCAAAGGGGAATAAAGAAGTAAATGCAACTAAAATGCCCCTATAAATTCATTGCTATAAGAAATAAAGCCTAAAATGCTTGTGAAGCATTACAAGTCTTATAAGTCCATATCCTTCCACTTCACCAATTGGAATCTCACCATCGTTTTCAAGCCATGGCCAAACAGTGGTCCGAAGACATCAATCATAACATCTCAATGCAGCTCCAATTAACCACTTGTCCCATGTTACAATCCTTTAGCAACTCCCACAAGGGCCCCAAGCATGTCAGGCTGATAAGGCTCCCTCACAAAAGGTTACATTGATGGTCAGACCTTTCCAGCATTTTTCCATGTTCACGATGTGAAATTCACACACACCAGACAATGTGAAAGAAGAACTAATGTATTCCCATTTCCAAGAGCGAGGAATTCAAGTTAGAGCTTGCAAGCATGGTACTCTAGACAGGGAGTTTGGGGGATTCCCAAGTTGATCTCAATGAAACACATAAAAAATTCAAGAAAAATACACAACACCACCCTGACAAGAAGGATACCCAAAACAAAGTTTTTTTATTTATGGGCAAATCAATCTCAAGGAACCCGTAGACACCTTGTGAATTACATACACTTCCTCTAATAATGGTGGGGTGAAACACCTATGTTTATTATCGTATACATGCGTCTTCTACTGTCTTTATTGCTTATCTCTGTTATCGCTCTTGTCCATCATTGCTACCAATCTTTCCTCTGATGAAAGTGCCCTTTGGTCTCTCCCTCTCGTCATGCGCTTGTGATTGTTTCACTTTTATAGACGATGGGCGCTCGTGTTGGGTGGTTTATCAATGTGCCCAGCAGTTGCAGTGCAGTGGAGTAGTGGGTAGCATGGCGGATTGGCCTCCAAGCTATATGTTGATTGTGTGTTTCCACATGTTGAATCGGTAAGTCTATTTTTTGGCAAGAGGCCCGGTCCATGTGTTCCTCTTTGCTCCTTGTACTTCCTCTCCTTTTTTCTTAATACAGTCAACATTATAAATAAATAAAAAAGAATCAATCAAAATACGTGTCAACAATATTACCTTCGTGGTGACCAGGTATCTTCCAATTGGGTTTTGAGAGGGGTTACTGAATGATCCAAGTGCTACCAAACAGGAACGTGATCCTTAACCTCATGGAATTAAGGCTCCCATGCAAAGCTGAAAGATATTTTAGCATCTATCCTTCCGATAGAAGTGACTTATTGGTGTGCGAAGAGGATATTTCCAATTTACCCTTCCGGCAATTCATTTGCAATATGTCGTGCGTCTCTTTTACTTTCATGCCAAAGTGATTAATGTCCTTGAAGGATTTATAATTATTCATCTAAAACATGCAGCATAGTTCTGGTCCTCAAGATACCTACCTTTGGTAAATTTGAGTTTTAAGTAATAAAGGGCATAATTGTTAATAGCGTACTTATGAACAGATACACTAAATGCATGCCCTGCTATGGTTACCCGGATACTCTATATGTTTACTACCAGCGTCAAAATGATGTGACAATATCTATATCAAATTCTCCTAGGACATTCATAAATATAAAAAAAAATATAAAAAGAGAGAATGAATTAAATATATAATTATGCAAAGTAATTTGATATATAAAGGTTTTCGCATCTGTAATGTAAAACATATATCACATATCTGAAACATAACGCAGGTGTTCTGAACTAAATATCTATAACATATGGTATTACACAACTGCAGTAGAATATGAATACAAAGTGTTTATTATAAAGACATATTTTATTATAAAGGCGTACCATGTATCTTTATATTATAGGTGATTCCTCATTGTTTATGTATGGGCATCAGTGTTTAAAACTCAGGAAGAAAACTCAGACTTGCCTGAGTCACTCAGAACTGACACCTAGATTCAGATGATCCTTGTCTGATCCATCTCTTGATCAAATTTGAACCAAGTCTATCAAGGTTTGACCTGAGACAATCCAAGACTTAAAAAAAATCCAGCGAATATCTTAAAAGAATGCAATGTTTAAGAAAGGACCCAATGAGCAGACTCGAGTCACTAGGCCTGGGTCCTACCTGTTTGGGGAGCTCTGTTCCATGTTTTTAAACATTGATGGGCATAATTTATAAGGTCATGTTGTTAAGATTTAAGAACCCTCTTAGATATGGAAACAGGAACACTGAACATAGATCTAACCAAGATTGTGTACTTAACCAGCTAGAAATAAAATCAGAGAGAATGTGAACCATAATACAAGAACTAAGTATAAAACACATACCACAAGAATACAAAGATTTATGTGGTTCACCCTAAAGGGGCTACATCTGCAGGCATGGAAAACTGAAATCTACTATACCGATAAGAATTACATCATACATTTTGGGACATAGAGTACCTCTCTAACCCTTAACAAAACCTAATCGAGCAATACTTTGAGACCACCTCTCTGAACTGACATTAGCCAACGATATCCCATATCTATTCCACAACTAAATGACTGTCCAGGAAGAGAACCTTGAGAGCAACAGAGACTTTCACTCACTAAAAGGGAAACCACCTAAAATCTCTATGGGATCCGTTTTTCTACAAGAAACCAGCCTCTCGGTCTGTAGGAGGCACCATTGCAACAGTCTCTCTATATGAAGCTCACTTCTCGCTATGTGAAGGCCTTGCCTCTCATACATAGGACGCCCCAGCCTCTATCTCCTTAGAGGAAGCCACCTTTCCCATACTGTGACCCCAAATAGGGTGCACATATCCTTTCCTCTCTCATTCCATATATATAAGGTTGTTAATCCCAAACCAGATAGGCACCCTAAAGATGTCACATATATCTCAAACTTAAGATATAACCTTAAGTCCTAATCTAGTTAGACTTCAATGGGTATTCCAACTAACTTAGGAAACTTATCAATGTCAATATCAATATCAATCCCATATAATATGGGATTTCCTTACAGGGCTGACTTTGAATATCAAAATATCCAACAATCTCTACCTTAATATAAAAATCACCGACTCACCAAGCCTACATTCATCACATAGTTGCATGATTTCTTACTTTTTGCCAAATAAATTCCGTTGTCATTCTTGCTCAAGAAGATTGGGCTCGCCATCACATTTCTTCACCTCAAACAAAATGTCCGCATATTTTCCTATGTGCTTTTCTTTGTCTGAATACACAAACCCAAGCATTGTTCCGAACCACGTGCTCTAATACCACATGTTAGGATTTAAAAAGCTCTTTTAGATACGGAAACAAGAACTTCGAATGTTCGATCCCACCAAGATCATGTTTTTAACCGGCTAGAACAAAATTAGTAACAATATGAACCATAATATGAGAAATAAACAATAAAACACACACCACAAGAATACAAAGATTCACATAGTTCACCCCAAAGTGGCTTCTACGTGCATGGTAAAACTAAAATCCACTATACTGATGAGAGTTATATCACTGATTTTGGGACGGAAAATTACATCTCTAACACTTAAACCTAGTAACGCAACCATTTTAGACTAGCTTTCTGGATTGACATATCCCACCAACCTCTCATCGCTACTCCGCAACTAAACTACCGTCTAGGAAGAGAGACTTTTGAGCAACCGAGACTTTCTCTCACTAAAAGGGAAAAACCACCCAAAATCTACATGGGAACCGCTTCTCTACAAAAGACCACCTCTCACTCTACAAGAGGCACCATCAAAACATTTTTCTCCATAGGAAGCTCACTTCTCTATATGTAGAGGCCTTGCCTCTAATACACAACGGGACCTTGCTTCTCTAGAGGAAGCCACCTTTCATATATGGTGACCACAAATAGGCACATTATTTCCTCTCTTTCCATATATAAGGTTATGAATCTCATACAAGATAAGCACCCATGGATCTCACATATATCTCGAATTTAAAATATAACCATGAGTCTTAATCCAGTTGGATTTCAATGGGTATCTAACTAAGGGAACTTATCAATATTAATATTAATATCAATCCCAAGTAATATGGGAATTCCTTATTGGGGTGATTTTGGATATCATATCACCATCCCATCCATGGCTTAGATGGTGATAGAGTGAGTGGCACCAACATGCCATTAATTCGTCTAGTTTTCCCATTGTCTCTCCTTCACCATCCAAACCATTTGATAACAGTGATAATAATCCACATGGTCATGTTGGCATGATGACCACAAGGATCATACTACTTTCAAAAGAAAGACCATGAGGACCATACTACATTTTTCCATTATGAATTATCTACATGTCTTTTAAGTCAGATTGGATAAGTCATATTCATATCCATGTCCTGAATTTTTTAATTTTTGGAACTGAGATGTTTCCTGGATCCCAATGTTCATCTCTTGTATTTAGGCATCTTCGATAGTTAGATGTCCTATTGATCATTCAAAATTAATGAGGTCTTTTCTATCTTTTATTTGAAAAGAAATCAAGAATGAGGGGAACATCCTTGTCTATGCACATACAAAAGCAGATTATCATTATTTGCTATGTTCTAAAAGGCAATATAAGTTTATTTCAAATAAGTTAATTATTTTAGAATATAAGCTTAGATAACCAAAAAATAGATATATGTGATGCAAATTGCAACAATACTACCTCAAACTCAAGCAGAGGAGGACCACTTTCTGACAATAAGGAGGCATCTAAGAGATTATCCAAGGCGCAGGTAGCTATAAAGGCAGACTGATGGTCCTTTCTGTACCTAATTTGAGGAAAGACAATAGACAATATATTCAACATCATAGAAACTTGAGATGACCTTTTCTCATAAAAGGCCTAACAACATGAGCAAGACACTAAACAAACCACGAGTTCAATGCCCAATCACAATATAAGAGCATAATAAAACAAAAGCATGAGTATTTTGTTTAAAGTCGCGATTATTACAATTCTAAAATAGTAGGGATAAGTCTGGGAAGAGCGGCCTTTAGCTGTGTCCTGCTAACGAGACCAACCATCTGCCCCAATGCTTCGACAGTAGCCAGGCGGACCTGTTCAACATCATGAACATTTAATGGTAGCTTTCAATAAATGGACCAAGTGAAAACAAGGATTATAGGAAGTCCACTTTAGGTTTTTGCATGTTTCTAAGGCAAGTAATGCAAATGCCAGGAATATCAAGCAAAGTAGTTGCCAAGTCAAAAAACATTGAAGCCAAAGAGAAAAGAGAAGGCCTCCACTACATGTGAAATAGTTTGTTCAGATTATTTGCTGAAAGATTTGGATATCACGTAGGGTAAACAGATTGATTTAATTTGTAACAACATGAGTGCATTTCATGTTGCCTCAAATCCTGCTTATCATAAAGAAATAAATGCATAGAAGTGGAACACTATCGGAAATTTGGTAGAGGATGGTCCAATAAAAACCCACGACACAAAATAAAAGATACACCAAAGCACTATCTCCCAATAAGTATCACTCCCTCATGGGAAAGCAGCCAATTATTAATCTTTTTCTCTCCCTCTGAAAGGAGATTATTAATACTCTGTTTAATGTGTTTAATAAGAAGAATGTGAGTTTCATACTCATATTATTTCAAGGACAAGTTTTGTGATACGTGAGAGTGTACTTGGCCTTTTTGTCGTTAGAGATAACAATCTCTCCATACCCATTCTTTTTTATGGTGCATATATGTACCCAATGTGGGTTAATGTGATGTCTTGATGACAAGTATTGTGATATATGAGGGTGTACTTGGCCTTTTTGTTGTTGGGGATGACAATATCTCCATACCCTGTACTTTTTTATGTTGCATATATGTACCCCGAGAGTGTTAATAAAATGGCAAAAGATCATATCCTCCTGCAAGAGCAGATCACCTAATCACTCCCTAGTGTAAAACCTTATCAACGAGTACTTTCAGGACCCCAAATTTTGGGGACATAACCTCCTCAACCTAGCAACCAACCTCCAAAAAACAATATTAAAAAAGTAAAAACTATATGCACTAAATGCACTGGTAGAAATAAGGTCCTAGAATTGAATACACCATCCAATTTTAAAATGGTCATACTAAGTGTAAAGGAACTCGAAATCCAACTTTTTTTTTAAATACTCATCTGGAGATCTCAAAGTGGATCCCAAAATTTCAGGTCGAGAAAATCTTCCTAAGTAGAGCAAGTGTACAGTGTGGTCCAGAAGGCTACACCATGATGAAATTATATCTCACATCATACAGAACTTGTCTTCAATGAGTTGAAATCAAAAGGGCGCTAGCTCACACCTTGCACAGGGACTGTTGTACGAAAGGAAGTAGCAACGACCAGAAACAGGATAAAGTAGCTATCAAACCATCAATTGAGCATTTTACAAAATGTTATGCTGGAAAGATTCTTGAAGTACCTTCATATCACGAGAACTGGCCCAGACCCTCAATAGGAGCTCAAAAACTGAATGTAAAAATGATCTGTATTGAAACAAAAACATGTAATGTTAAGAAAACAACATACATCATTAAAAAACCAGTAAAATATAAATATGCACATATGTATATATGCATATATGCATGCATATATGTATGTATATATGTGTATATATAAGTATGTATGTATATGCACACACATATATATGTACGTAGGTACGTATGTATGTATGCATAATATTATCACTAACATGGAAGCCAAACTCACAGAACATCATTATCAAGATATGGGTCAGAAGGGAAGTCTCCACAAAATTGCCAAACGGCCTGGCACCAACATTTAAATGCTGAGGAACAAAACAATCATCTTTTAGTTGAAAACGATAATATATATGAGCCCCCTTATCTGATTATAGATAACACCTAACAACAATTTAAAATATAATTATATAAAAAATGTTCACTTTATTGGAATACAGACAGACATTAACTAAAATGATATCAATACGAGAATACATACCATGTGCAAAAATTGGTCGCAAGGCATCCTTCACACTTCCAAGAATGGGCAATACTCGAGATAAAACACCCTTTAATCGTGGGGTAAATTGTGAAGCTTTAAAAAAAACAAAAAAACAAAAAAAAACAATGAAACATGAGTAGAGTGGGAGAGTGGGTATCCTGATTCCATCTGTTGTTCAGCACAAAATTCAAAAAGGTGATCATATACAGAAGAATGACACACTGAATGATATGATACCATCTGCAGAAGCAAAATCTGCTAGTGTTTGAACCATGGTGGGGAGAGCAGAATGATGCCCAGATAGACTACTAAAAATTTCATCCATCATCTGGCAAATGAGAAATTAGACAATTAAACACACCAACTTTTACATCACATTGCCTCTTCCTATTTTAATAGGCATCGCAAAAGTAACTCACCAGGTCAGGTAAACGTGCACCTATTGAAACCAACAAACTAGATGCAGCCTTTTGCCAATCAGTGTTAATTTCCTGTGCATACAATACGTTGGGAATTTTAATGGTACAAATAATACATAAAATGTAATACGAAAGAACACATGTAGAAGGATTTAAGTTATATTCAAATTGGCAAGTCAAACACAAACTCTATTATTAAAAGAAGCATTCATTCATGTTCATCAGCATACCAAGAAAATATTCTAAGCATTGTCTGCCCTTCCCTTAAAAGCTCTAAGATTTGATCTGACTGAAACTGCTACAATGTATCCCACCTCCGCATCCACCTATTGAGACTTTCATACAGGATGGAACCCATTCAAGTCAACAGCACAAACACTCCAATGCCTCAATGCCTCTATCCCCACATTCATCAGGTTTCAACTAAAACATGGAACTAGATCACCCAATCCACTCTCCAATCACCACTCCAAAATTCCCTAACAAAGGGGTTCAGTTAAAAAGATAGGCTGGTAAGTGCAAAAGCTGAGAATTTCAAGACTTTCAGAAATTTGGTCCACACTAAATATCTGTTAGTATTGGAAAAGGATGTTTCAAAATAAGATTCGAATTCGGCACTTGGTTTGGGCCTTTTCTAAACTCCAGGCAAAGTATGGCTTAAGTGAATGGTTTAGTCCTACACTGCCTAGAGACAGGCTTGTGACTCAAAAAGTGGGAGATTTCCTTTGTCTGATGGGGGATGGAAGAGAGAGAGACAGATGCAAGGCTTTCTGGGTGCTTTCAATTTGTGTGCATGCCCAAAACACACATGTGCATGTGTGTGACCAGCAGAGCAGAGCTCAGTCAAGCCGTGCAGGGGACGTGGCAAAGGTCTAGGTCGGGTTGGGAGCGACGTATTTCTTTTTATTGGTCAAACAATTGATCACCCATTAACCGCGATAAAGTCAGAGTAGACTGAGGTTGACGTTTGGGTTTGGGGCAAAAGTCTATCGTTTTGCTCATCAAATTCTCATCAACTTTTAACACATAAGATAAAGTAGTTGAATTTCTGAATGCAGATAAGTTCTATGAGCATGCTAAGAGCTTTTCTCAGAGAGATCTGACCTTTGGCCATGGTTACAACTGTCCACTGTGGTTATGGCCGTTCACCGTATTAACTGTGTTTTGCGGCTTTTATTGTCACTCCCTCATAACATGTGTTGACACATTTTTGCCACGTGTCCACTGTTTCATCACCCACTATTTTTTTCACCACACTTATCCAAGTCAAGTCGCATCGAACTTCAAGTCACCTTTTCGGAACTTTGAGGGGGTACATAGGATCATTGAAGGAGAAATGGGAGAGGCAATGATGGTCCATATGCCCGATGGATGGAAAGATAATATGCAGAACCTTAACTTTTTTGTGTAGAAAATATGCAAAAGCAATTAATTAAATTTTTTGTGTAATGCACAAAAGGGTATATTTTCCATAGTTGTTGGAAATGCTTGGGAACCCGAGTCGTTTTAGGAACTGGAATCGTGGAATCGCCACCAGCTAAAAGATTCCTATCTTAGGAATCCTTGTCCGTACAATAGGAATCGCGAGCAATGAGATTCTTAGTTTTTGAGAATCGTATTTTGACTGAAATAGATCCAAGTTTCGTCCACATATGGAATCGAGATTCCGTCCCTCTTGGAATCGAGATGCCCATCCCCCTGGAATCCCCTGGAATCGACACTCTAGGAGTCAAAGTTCATTAATATGCGGAATCAAGTTTCCAACATCTATGAAATCGAGTCTCTGACATATGTGGAACAGAGATATGTTGCTGTTTCGAATCATGATTCTAACATATTTGGAATCAAGTTTCTAAAGTATATGGATCAAAGATCCATGCAAGTTTGAGATCGAGATTTACAATAATATGGACCATGGAATGCATTTGACGACCCCTACCAAGAATCGAGATTTCATTTTTATGGAGAAGGAAGCCCCAAGCACATCTTGAGCCTTATCAACTTTAGAACCTATATTGGATGTCTCCTATTAGAGGGTTTCCGAAATTTTATAGTGATTGTGTTGACTATTGAACTTACAGTCATTATTTATAAAAGATAAGAGTTTCTAAATTGTGATTTTGACTTCATTATTATAAAGACAAATTAGGATTATGTCTACGCCATGGTTTTACTTTCAATTGTATGTGTTGTATTTATCAATCATATTATAAATTTAAAGTAAAAGTCGACTAGGGTGGCACAAGTAAAATAATGAAAACCTGCAACCATTAGAAGCATTCGAAAGAAGATTCCTACTCCAATTTCCTTTAGGAAGTGCACAACCATCATAGACATTGGACATTATGTACTTTGATTTGGTTTTTTTTTGTTATACTTTGAATTTATTTAATTTTGAATCAAGATTTAATCCTTGCTAGAATCTAGATTCGATACATTTGGAAACGTCTACCCAATAATGGGTTCAAATTTCAAAAGATGTGTTGGATCGAGATTCCCAAATTAAGGAATCAAGTTTCTTTGGTTCTGATAAATGGTTTCCAAAGATGTGTTGAATCGAGATTCCGAAATTAAGGAATCGAGTTTTCTTGGTTCCGAAAAATGGTTTCTAAAGATGTGTTGAATCGAGATTCTGAAATTGAGGAATCGAGCTTCCTTGGTTCCAAAAAACGGTTTCTGTGGAGATTCCTTAATAGAAAGACGGAATCGGGTTTCGAAACCGGAATCGCGAGGTTGGTGGAGAGATTCTGATAACTATGATATTTCTTGAAGCCAGTGGATGCTTTCGAGACAATTAAAACTAGGGAAGTATTATTTGACTTTTTTTATGGAAGACAATTGAGGAGGTAGGACCAACGAATGCGGTCCAAGTCATTTGAGATAATGCAAGCAACTATGCCTTTAAGGGGCACTTGCTACAAGAACATTGTCCCACTATATTTTGGAATCTTGTGCAACCCATTGTGTATAGATTAATTTCTATAGGCTATAGGGAAGATATCCAATGATTGTTTGAAGGGACATCGATCCTACGAGTAGTTTCCATAGTGACACCTCCCCTTGACGACAAGCCCAGCCCTCCTGCCTTCCCCTATTCTACCCTCGACCACCCTCCTCTCGCTTCCCCTGGCCGTGTTTACCTCCCTATCTCATCCTCACCCTCCGACCTTGAGCCACTTCCTACCCTACCTCCAGACCTATGCCCGTCTTCTTTGATCTCTGCGCCAGATAGGGAGTCACCTAGTTCACCAACCACGCCCATCTCTCCCCCTTCGGTAGATGCCAATGCCGAGGGGGTCGATAAGGATGGGAACAACAGTGAATCTGACAGGATGAAGGAAATTTACAGTTTCATGGGTTTCCAACACGATGGCCATGAAGGACCGGCACACCAATTCTTACTCTCGGATGCTCAGAGCCAGCTAAAGGTGAGTTTCAGAGGACATAGGTAGCCCCTCAACGTGTTCTCCTCGATCAACTACGAGAGACTCCCTAGAAGGGCCCCAACCTCCAACCCCCTCTCCCTCTCCGAGGAGGTTTGCTAGACTCGCCTCCTACTCAACCTCCACCCTTAACCTATGAAGATTTTTACGTGGAACGTAAGAGGCATGGGACACCCTTCAAAAATGGAGGTTTTCAAGGACCTAACTGTTAAACACCTCCCCTCGATCTTAGCTCTCACTAAGACCAAACAGCCGGAGCCCACCCTCCAACTCATTCGCCTCGTTTGGGGAAGAAGGCCTTGCCAGTGGGTGTCTCTGCCTGCAGTCGGGGCTTCAAGGGGATATGGGTGGTCTAACACATCTTCCTGTCTTCCCCTATTGGGGAGTACTCTGTCACTGTTCTTCTCTCACACTCATCAGACGATTTCCCTTGGAAATTCTCGACCATTTACAGCCCCAACTTAGCCTCTCTCAGACCTCGGTTCTAGGCTGAATTGGACCACGTTGCTTCCCTACCCCATCCTGCTTGGTGTCTGGGTGGGGATTTCAATATCACTAGATGGTCCCACGAGAGAAATTTCAATTCCACCATCTCTCAGGGAATGATGGATTTCTTGGATTTCATCTGTCACAATGAACTCCTAGATATCCCTCTCCAAGGAAACCGTTATACTTGGTCAGACCACTCATCCCAACCCTTTCTCTCTAAATTAGATAGATTCCTCCTCTCCTTGGATTGGGAGGAACACTTTCCGGGCACTCATTTTGTGGCCCTGCCTAAACCCACCCAAACCACTGCCCCATTCTCTTGGACACTCAAGCTGCCAAGAGAAGACCGAAACCTTTTAGATTTGTATTAGCCTGGCTTGAAGAGGACTCGCTCTCCACCCTGATTCCAACATGGTGGAACTCCTTTTCCACCCTGGTTTCGGGTACAGCAAGCTATAGGTTCCAAACCAAAATCCAACTTCTCAAAGCCTCCCTCAAAACCTGGAGTAAGTCCATCCCGAGAAACTACTCACAAACTAAGTCCTCTCTGCTCAACTCCATCGAAGACCTAGACCAAACAGAGGAGTCCAGACCTCTGACAGCCACTGAATCGAACCTTGGAACCCAAACCAAGTTGGAACACTTCTCCATTTTAAAAAAAGAAGAACTGTATTGGTTCTAGAGGTCCAGAGTAAACTAGCTAAAAGCAAGGGACCATAATACATGTTTCTTCCACCGGATAGCTAATTATCGCAGAAGAGACAATATTATCTCCACTATCAAGGTGGGCAATCAAAATCTTGATCAACCTAAGGAAATCGAGTCGGTCGTCCTTGGTTTCTTTCAGGCTCTCTACACTGCCCCTCTGGGGCCCAGACCAAAGATGACCAATCTCGGTTTCTTAACTCTTCCGGACCACTGGGCACTTTAGCTGGAGTGCCCCTTCTCCAAAGACGAAATTTCAAAGGCTATCAACGACCTAGCCAAAGACAAAGCCCCCGGTCCTGACAGAGTTCCCATTGCCCCTTTCTAAATATTTTGGGAAACCTTTCGACCAAATTTCATTAGTTTCTTTGAGGAATTCTTCCAATAGGGAATCCTTCACAAAGCCATCAACGCCACCTTCATAGCTTTAGTTCC